GACTTACCGATGCTCTTGTTGCGGTGCCTGTTGTGAACACCGGGAAGGACTTTATCCGAGAGGGATCTCGCATGTGCAACAAACTGCCGTATTTCACCTGTCAAGTCACGAAAAGTATGTTGATCAGGATCATGTTCAGGCAAACGAAAACCCTTCAAATAGAATAACACCGCAAGCTCAACATAGGAAGTAACTGCATCATGATGAACTTTCCACTGAAGTTGATCGAAAAATTCTCCCAACACTCGCCAGCTCGGAGCACGTTCAGCCCACTTCTCATGTAATGGAAGTGAAAGCAAAGACTCTTCCACTCTCCAAGCAAAATCCCCAGGGTTGGGGTCCCATTCCCAGTGGGGAAAGAGGGAGAAGACATTCTCGGAATCCGCTTCAGCTTCCATTCTCGCCTCATTTTTGGCATCTTGATCATGCTTCTGCAGTATTGCCACCTGGATATTAAGATTCGTGAGCCAATCCTGGCGCTGCACTATGGATTTCTTGACCAAAGTTTCGTCATGAGGATGGATACTAGTCGCCTCCAAAGCATGTGCCTTGGCGAACCTATCCGCAAACCGATTGCCCATGATGTGGCGAACCTCTGTTCCATGGGCGTGAGCCATGGAGTGCGTGATATGCTCTTCAGGTAAATACTCAAACAAGTGTGAGGGGACCCAAACAGCTTGCAGAGGGATTCCTGCAGATTTCGCAAAGCTCGCAATCGATCATGGATGGCGTGCCACCAAGCAAGATGGGACCAAGCTGGGTCAGGGACTTTATCGGCCTGCAGCTCCCGGAGTTGGTTCACTATTGTCTGACAGTCAGTATAGACAGTCGTGGGGCCTGTACAGATGCGGGAGGCCACCACCAATGCCCAGAGTTCGGTGGAGTATGAGGACAAACTCAAGTTGCGCACAGGGCCACCTGAAACTTCTTGGTAATGTTGGTCGACCAAGGAAAACCCACCAGCTGTGAGCCAGAATGTATCGGACCAAAAAATTGAACCATCAGACCACCACTCTGTGTGGGGCGCCTCTGGATGAAAGGTCTGAGCTTCAATGTGGTCAGGGTTGGACCATCCCAGCCTGTGCTTGATGATACCTACAGGATGTTCCACAATTCCAAGCAGGCCAAAATTAGGACCATACTCATGGACCGGATGTGGTGGGAACCGTTCCAAGAACACCGGGCATTCATGGACCAGGTGGTGAAGAGATTCCTTGACTCCCTCACAAAATCTGCACCGATCCGATGAGTCCAGGGACGCAGCAAACAGACGGTCTCTAGTTAGGGTACAGCCAACTAACTGCGATTGGAAGTGGCTTTCAACCGGAGTATCCGGGCTCATCTGGAGCTGAGAAAACTTACGAAGACCACAAGTAAGGTCAAAATCGAGAATTCCAGCCGGCGCCTTGAAGTCTTTCCTGTGCTGATTGGATGCATCTACATAACATTTGTGTCGGGCAAGCCTCTGAAGGACCGGTTTGATGTCCTTCGGAGAAAGATCCCACACTGGCATCAAAGGTTTCCCAGCAAAAATTACTTGCAAAGAATCTGACAACTGGAACCCAAAGAACTGAAAAGCTTGTTGAATCCGTTTCACAAAACTGTGGTCGGAAGGCACAGCGTTGGCACACCAGCGGACCTTGTCCAATCCATTACCAGGCATTCGGAGAAACCGGACAAACTCCAGGATCGAATGATATGCTCTGGCACATTGCGGATCGTTCTGGTGAGGTTTCGCAAGAAAGGCCATGACAAGAGCCCTCGCTCTCCAGTGGGGCCGATGACCCCATATAGCTTGAACAATTTCAGATTGGATCTTCTTGGCAACCTCTTTGGGGATCTGGTTGAGGGAAGCCGCAAAACAAAATCTGGGAATGACCTTGACCCCAATGAAAAAGGATTTCATTTGCACCGAGAGAGGAAGAGCCCTGATGTGTTTGATTTCTTTCACAATGGCTTGGGTTTTGGAGTCAGGGAAGTGAAAAGCAAGTCTTTTGGACGTGGGAATGTTAGCACCAAGTACTTCAATCTCCAACTGTAGGGACATGTCAGGCCACAAAGATTTGCCGGTCTTTCTGGCACGGGTGGACGTTCCCCAAACCACGCATTTAGCATCATTCAGGAGTTGACCCGAAAGTTGGTCCCAATAACGAGTCATTTCAACTGCCGTGGCCAAAACACTAGCGTGCTCAAGGCGAGCCCATAGATAGGCGTCATCAATGTACGCCATGGCAACAACTTCCGGCAACAGGTCCATAAAAATGACCCAGACCTTGGAGTACACATTGATTGCTACTAAAGAAAGGCTATCGCCTTGTGCTATTCCGTTGGCAGCATGGGTGGCCACAGGCGAACACCAACACTTAAATGAAAGATGCCTATGCAATCCATCATAAAGCTTAGTGAAGATGGCGACCAACCTGCGATCAATCCCGAAAGCTAACATCAGGCATGCCGCAAAGGAGGGGATGATTCTATCGAAACACTTGGCTTTGTCGAGCTTGAGTCCCAGAAGCTCTTGGCCCTGGGATTCAGCAACATCGATGTCGAGTTTCAAGTGAGTTTGGATGGAGGACATATTACGCCCTTTGACACCCCCAACTAATTGCTTTGGCATCGAGTGGATTTGCCAGCCACAAAGTTGGCGGAACCTTGCTCCCGAATACGCCAAATATAAAATTGGCAACACAGTGATTAAACGCTTTTGCATGGGATGAGCAGAGCCATTCTTATTTAAAATCATCTGTCGGGCGCAAGTGAGCGTGGTCGGAAGCGGTTCATCCGAGAGTTCAAGCTGCTCAAAGACCTGTGCGAAGGGCTTGAAACAAGCCTCAGGCAGCTTTTGCAGCTCCTGTGTCCGCCAGCCATCGAATCCTGGGGCTGCTTGAGGCTTTCGGGCTTGGATGGTCAACCACAGTTCATGAGCATCAATGGGAGGACATTCGAACTGCATTGTGTGATCTTTGATGTAAGGCCAGATTACGTCCAACATTTTAAGTGGGTGTTCAGCATCGATGTTACACGCAAACACCTCATCCCAGGCACTGTTAAACGTGGCAATCGCTTGAGTAGGGTCAACGATGATGTTTCCCTGTGCGTCCTGCAGCAAGTTCGCTGGCTCATCACATGCTCGATTCCTGAGATGGCGAAAAACAAAGGAGTTGCCATTGTTGACATCATCCTTTATTTTGTTTCTCCATCGCTGAATGCGGTCAAGCTTAGTTTTAACATCGTGAGTGCGGGCACAATCACCTACCCAGTTGAGGTTGGACCACACTTGAAGTACCGATGGAATCGATCCTCTTGGCCAAACAAATGGCGATTTCAAGCGAGTCAACAATTTGTGGGCATTGCAGCAAGTATTAAATGAGACTTGCGTGTCGGCGAATGAGCCCTGATGTCGAGACAGGCGAAGAAAGAGTTCCTGCAAAACACGGAAAGCCTTGCAGAGGGTGGCCATACGGGATTTCGATGCGCCTCCAAACATGGACTGGCCAGGACAAACCTTCTTGCTACGGAATTTGGGTGGTTTGCCTCTTTCCTTGATGCCTTGACCCCATCTGCCCCCATTCTGCAACATGAACAAGACACAAAAGTCATTGGCGATAGCCCAGCGATCTTCAGGGTCATCGCTCTCCATGAAGGCCTGCGAGAATTGGTTCGTCCACAAAGATTCAGCATGTTCATTCGTGAACAACGTAGGGTCGGCAGTTGAGGTCGTGGTGTCAAAAACGAATGGGGCAGTTTTGTGATGCACGAAGCCAGACATGAACATTTTCTGCCAATGGCAAACAATTCTCAGAGGTCGGTGCTGTGTCTCACAAGTCTCAATCGTTTCGGCTCGAAGAAGGGCAGAGCAAGTGACATGGTTAATCAAGATCGTGTCGATACTGGAACAACCCTCCTGACCACTAAACGAACGATCGGACGAAAAGGTCAAAATCCTCTGTGGGAGGCCCTCAGCATCAAAGGAGACAAAAGGGTCCTCCCATTTTGCAAAATGAATGGCTTGTGTGACCGAAGCATATGATAATGGTTCCGCCTGGAAATCCCCAGCGATGATGACCGGAATGTCCCCAAACTGGGCGGAGATATCAAAGATAGCCTCAAGCGTAGTGTTATTCCACAA